CCGTCAAAGTTGCACACTGGCGCGGGTCAGAACTACATTGGAGCTTACATTTACACACACACGCATATACATACACACACACATACACACATACATACACACACACATACCGGTCTGTCGCGCTCCTCTGTTTCACGGAGCCCAAAGGATTCGCGCAAATACGCGGCTCCAGTCAAACCACATGGAACATGTTTGTGTTTATGGTCCTCGGGATCAGCTCCACACACATCACTTGTATTTAAACTTTTGTGAAGACCTGTGAGACGCGGCTCGTCACTCGCTGCTCTGACCATGTGAACGAGCAGTCGTTTGCTGCTAGAAAGTTTTGGTATTAACCCGCAGCAGAATGGGAAGATTAAAAAAGCAGTTCTCTGTGCGCAAAGGTGCCGGAGCTCTTGCGGGTTTTGGCGCCGCTGTCTCGGCTCTGATCCAGTAGAACGCAGAGCCGCACTTATGAAAAGTACGTGGCTCGAAATGGCTGTTATTTCAAAGAACGTGGACTATTTTAAACTACGCGGTTAACCGGTTTCAACCGGTTAATGAGGCTCGGTGGTCGGTCATGAAAATTCATAGTTTTTTACATCCCTATTCGGCACCTTGGCGCACAGAGAACTTCTTTTTTAGTCTTCCCATTCTTCTGTGCTGCGGGTTACAGCTTTTTAGCAGCAAACAACGGCTCGTCCACATGATAAGAGCAGCGAGTGATGAGCCGCGTCTCGCAGATCTCCTCTAAAGTTTAATCTAATGACAAGGACCATCAGCACAAACATAGTCCATGTGGTTTGACTGGAGCCGCGTATTTGCGAGGATCCTTTGAGCTGTGTGACACAGAGGAGCGCGACAGACCGGTATGTGTGTGTGTACATGTATGTGTGTGTGTGTGTGTGTGGGTATATTTGTGTGTGTAAGCTCCAATGTAGTTCTGACCCGCACCAGTGTGTAACTATGGCGGTAACAGAGGGGAGAGATGCGTGTGGATGTTACGTATCAATGGAGGGGGGAAAGTGTGTGTGTGTGTGTGCGCGCGCGTGTGCATGTGTGCGTGCATATGTGCCGCGTGCGGCATGAGAGTCGGCCCGGAGTTACTGATACATTGGCGCACACAGCTAGAGACGGACCCGCACGTCACACCGTGAAAATAAGGCTTAAAAAAGCTTAAAGCTGCACTAACTGACTTTATTTTTGTTTTCATTACAAAAATGCTATCCATGTCCATGTAGTGCATTGGGATATACGTCCTTTTGAAGAAAAAGTAGGGCAGGTTTGTGCTGGTGTGACATTATATTTTAGATCGAGTTTTGATGAAACAAGGAAGAGACGTGTTTCGGGTCGCAGATTGTGACCAATCACAGCGCACCACTAGCCCCCACTTTCGTGAGAAATCTACAGGTCCGTCGTTTGCACAGACGGCTGAGTTAGCACAACAAGCGGCGGAGCTAACCTGAAGATTTGTGTGTCTTCGTCACCGGTTACTGCTTACACAGCGAGACATCCATCCAAAAAAAGTCCCGTTCCTCCGCGCTTCCCGGTTCTATCGTTCTATGGTCCCGCCATCCACGTGAAAATCCATGTCCATGTATTTATCCATATTGGGAGACACTAGCTCCGTCCCAACAGTAGGTGTGTGTGGGGGGGCAATGGCTTCATGGGTGCGGGGAGGGGAGCAGAAAGAGAGAAGCCAGCGAGTCCGCGGCTTCAAAATCCCAAAGTCAGTTAGTGCAGCTTTAATTACGAGACCTCCCCTCTCCCTCTTTTCTTATTTTCAACCGATTTGACCGGTTAACGCTGTGACGGTCAACCACCGGTTAAACGGTCACCGATTTACATCCCTAGTGCTAATGCTAACTTATCTATCGGATCGCTACTAAAACTATGGCTCAGTGGGAGGAGAGCGTAGGGGAGAGTAGGAGGGTTTCTCAACTTGAGAAGCCTGTGAGCGGCTCGTCTGAGTGTTATTATGGGATGCATGGGCGGGTCAATCGCGTCAAATGCGTTAATTTTTTAAACGCGATAAATGAAGAAAAATAATTAACGCTCGTTAATGCGATAATTTTGACAACCCTAGTTTAAATCAATAATACTGTGACAAAAAGGTAGAGGCACTATAGGCATTTTCAATTATTTATGATGAAAAATAATGTTCTATTTGCATTCTTAGCTTTCAAATTAAAACAAAATAATTTGTAGGACAGGAACGTCTAGTTTTTAAATTTGTATACTTTTAATGCATACTTTTACTCTGATGCAAATGGCACTGTCATACTCATAACATGTAATCAAACTTGAAAAAGTGAATAGCATCTCATTTGCAGCCCTTATGACCTGATGATAGTGAGCCTGGCAACTGCTTTCCTCCCATTAATTAGACCTGGGTTCTTTGGTCTGATCTTTTGACCTGTGAGTGCTGCATCAAACCCAGTGGCAGATGGAAGCGGGGCATCAGGGCCACACAGCCTTCTCACAAACACCACTAAAAGCACAGGGTCACCCTTAGCAACCGTCCTTTAGCTACAGGTGACAGTGAGCCACTTGCCCCTGACATACCAAGTCTACACGCTACAGAAAGTCCTTGTGAAGTCCCGGATATAACCTTAACCCGGAGAAAATAGATTGTTTTTCACCTCTGCGTCATGCATTAAAAGTCATTCAGGTGACTGCACAGTTTTTATTATTTCTGATCCTTTTTATGGCACTTTCTTTTTTCCCCAGCTCTCATGTTGTATTTCTATAACAGCGGGGAGATTTTAAACATGCTTAATCTGAGAAATAGATTCCCTGAGGTTAAAAGAATTTGGGAAAAAAAGCAAATTGTCTGATGTTTCAGCTTGGCATATCTGCTTTTATCTTTGTTTACAGGTAATTACCATTGTTTCACTGTTTAGCTGTTACGTACCTCCTCCCATGCATTGTTGTTCCACATGGGCATTTTTTTCTATTTGTGAAGAAAGTAGGCCACTGTTTTAGATTGATAAGCATAATTTAAACATGCAGTCAATGTGCCAGGTGCTCTATGATGCAGTGCAACAACTGGGTCACACCTACACTCAACAACACTCGCCATGCTGCTGCTTAACTCCTGAATGTATTGTAATGGATATAGTTTCTGCTCGAGCACACACCACCCTCTTTGACGGATTCTCCAAGTGCATTAATATGGCAAATTGCAGAATTCATCATTCATAATGATACCATTATGGAGTAATGTTCATCAGCTAATGCGCGCTTGCTGGGAATCTATTTGTGTCTTGAGCCGTTGTTGTGTGCAAGTGCCTTTAACATCTCAGTTCTTTATTAGCCAACGCTGTAGCCACAAGGAGATTGGAATATGAAAAGATTCTCAATCCAGACAGGCAATAAGCCGTGATGAGGTTTTATGTCTGTGCCCTACCATTTCAGCAGCGAGATCCACACCCTTTTTTGCTCCTGGGCCCAAATAAACAGAAAGGAAGAAAAAACATATCTTCTACAGAGGACTTTTATTACATTTTTATTATTGGTATATGGTTTGGCGTGTTTCTTCAGCTGATTGATATGTTTAATAATAGCAGCAACAGAGAGCAGCAGGTGAAACTTTCAAATGATAGATGACAAAATCCAAAACAGAATTGTCCACTTTACTGAGACATTCTGTCAAGGTGTGTAAGGTGATTTCATGAATCATGCTGAATGTTAGATCAACAAACATGTTAATGCTCAAGTTTCCTGCTGAAGATTGGACACTATAAATATAATATAGCTGGTTTATATGGGAAAATATCAGGAAACAGACTTTGCTACAAGTTTTACAAAAGTTAACTACTTCCACTTTGTGTGTTATTTGAGATGAAGGTAATCCCATTGAGTAATATAATTTGACACTGTTTATGTTTAGCTTCCGTGTCTGACACCTAATTAATGTCAGGAAAGTTGGCTCTCCTCCTGCCGCACTCATAGAGAGAGTAGAAAACCTTTAGGAATATTTGTATAGCCACTGTCATATCACACAGGAGCTCTATACACAGAGGTAGTTCTTAGCATAGTGTTTAAAATATGACACTATAGTTGCTATCAGTGTCACTGCTAACTACCTACACTTTGTGGAGATTTATTCTGGTTCATTTTCAAGAGAGGAGGCATCACAGATCCAGGGAATTCCACACTACATCAAGCGACACTATATTGGATTAAATTAAATTGTTGTAAAATGTCATTCGAGGGTCTTGTTTCATTTTTACAGAAGGCATATAGCAACATTTTACATTATTTGAAAAGTAAAACTTCCGTGCTCCAGTATTGACTTACAATGTAGAGCAGCCATTCCCAAACTCAGTAACACCGAGGCCCCCTTAAAAATCTGACGGGTCTGCGTGGCCCCCCAAAATAATAACCAAGAAGACAACATTAAGAAGAGGCTCTTCTGGTTATTTTATTTTGGGGAAATAGCCTCTGCTACAAACATTGTAATACAAAAATGATTACAGTGGATTATTCAAGTCAAATAATGAACACAAATATTTTAATATTACAAACAAAACATTATAAATTTATATAACATTAAATAATTATATTTTTATTTTTATTTTTTTTATGACCTCCCGCGGCCCCCCTGCAGTACCCTCGCGGCCCACCAGGGGGCCGCGGACCCCACTTTGGGAGACACTGATGTAGAGGATTTATGGCAACAACACTAAAACTCTTTATGAAATCAAACAAGTTTACAATCTTGTATTGTTGGAAGTTTTTTATCTGTGCAATTGTGTCTTTGGCCCGCAATTACACACCATGGCGGTCAAAAGAAGAGGAAGTGTTTAATATGTTCTGAACTTTATCCGTTTACTTTTGATGAAGTAATTTGTTGTCTGCAGCACAAGTTGTGTGATCATATTCTCATTGTTTTTAGAAGTGACTGCTGACCAGCACCCAGACCAGTGCAGTAAGGAAGCTGAAGCCAAGAACATGCTATAATGATATCTGCTTTGCCAAAGAAAAGAACGAGAAAACACAGCCATCTTCAAACACCCATGTCCTCCTCTGATCTCAGGCAGAACAATGTGGGCTTACTGGTTTATTCATATAAAGGTATGTTTAATTTTAATTAGAGGAAAGTGAGGCACTAAACCACACTGACAGAGGACGCTTAAATCCACAGTTCTGGCAGTGGCTTGTCTGGATCTGTTTGTTTCACCACATACGACATATGTTCCTTCTCAGGCTGACTGAAGAGCCAGTGTGACTCACAGCAGGCTCAGACCTTCACCTGATGGGAGGGCTTGTTTATTTTAATGTTAGTATTTGTGGAATGACAAACATTCTCCATCTTGTGCATCTTTGATTTTAATTATTGTTTTTATATAAAATGCACTAAGTTATTCACTTCGGAGACAGGTTTATGTTTTTGCAAGTTAATAGCTTTTTTTCTTTCACTAAGTAAATACGGACATTCTCTTCGTATTGCCTGATGTCATCCCTATAGAGCCAAATTACAATTGGCCGTAGTTAACCCTTGGAGCTCTAATTGGGGAACTGGAAGGTTTTAGTGGATAATGGGGTCCAGCTATTTAGCTACAGAATAACTGTGGTGAAGATTGCCAGGATGCATAGGAAAGTGCAAAGAATAGTTCTACCCAAATCCAGAGCCACATTTTGATGGTCCGCCTGTGACTGTGTCTGTAATTGACTGTGGCATCATTAGACTCTTATTTATTCACATTCAGCTGAGGAGAGGGAGACAATGGCACTCACATCAGCGGTGGCAGCACACTCAGCACCTCCTGCAGGGATGCAGAGGACAATGGAAAAACATGACAATCAGACTATCCTTCAAAAATTAGCACAAAATGCAAGCTCATGTGCCCAGGTAGCTGGGGAAAAACACTTTTTTTGTTGCAGCTGGTAAAGTGTGTTGTATTTTTGTACAATAAAATACATATATTATTGAACAAGCTTTTCACTTGACAGTCCATGTCAAATCTCACAACCAATACAACTGGATTATAGATCTCTATGGTTTACTCTTTTGATTTGGGTCTGAATAGTTTCACCTTGATAGAGCATTCATCCTGGGCCCTTGAAACAAAGCGTATACTGTCCATGCACTGTCACCTAGCAACAACATTACTACTTATATAAAACAAGGCTAAAATATTTTTTTTACATGTACACAACAACAGATGGCAGGATAATTGTTGTTTGTGCAATCACTGTCCAACCATTCAACAGTGCAGCACACCACAGAGAATTAAACGTTACAAGCTTTGCAAACTTTTGGACACATTCAAATGATAGCAGCTGGGTGTCTGAAATTATATTTCTAACTTAAAGAAGACATGTCATGCACTATGTTTGGTCATTCCAAATGTTTTTATGTATTTTTTTACCGTGAAATGTCATGTTTTAAAATGAGAAATTATATTTTAAAGGTACTGTAAATAGGAGGATTTTCTACTTTCGGGTGGATCATCAAGACTATTGGTCCACCTAATTGTCAATCATTCTGTCAAATAAGACCAGAGAATTTTGCGGAGAAACATCAAGCATGACAAGCTGGATCGAAAAGAACGTACTTTCACTTGAGTTACTTATTTTGAGACAATACTTTTATCAAGAAAGAACACTGCTCTGATCTGTAGCCTGCCACATTTCAGACACCATGGTGAGTGCTTCACAGCAAGGCGCTCCTTGGTATAATTCCACCTCACACTTACAACACACTCCACTCTGTGTGGAGTGTGTTGTGTGTTCTCACAATGTCTACGTAGTAGGTTTCCCCCAGGTGCTCCGGTTTGTACAATGGTTCATGTTGAATCAGTGAATCAAGGATGACAGTCTGATAATAGTGTGGATGGATCTAAAAACAACTCCTTGTGTTTTTGTTGAGGAACAATTCATTCAATACTTTATTTCGGACACAAGAATAAAAAGGTCCATATTAAAAGACATATAACAACAAGAAAAACAAAGAGACACATTAAAAAAAAAAAAAAAAAAAAAAAAAAAAAAAAAAAAAAAAACAAGTACAAGTTAAAGGATAAGTCATTTCCTGTATAGGCTCTGAAGCCAGTGAGTCCATATACTGGAGAAATAACGCACTGAACTCAGAAATGATGTACTTGACTCAAAAAAGTACATTTAGCAATTTTGTTTCTCTGAAGCTAGAGCAGCTGTAGTGCTGACCTCCGCCAACAGGCCCTTAAAGATATAACTCAATCCAGACAATGATATGGAGCGCCCACAAAATCAGATTTCTTGTTCTCTTTCCAAGGTTTTCTGAAAAATTGACCCATACAATTTTGAGTTATAGAATGATGAAAGACTATTTATAAAAACCCTTTGATTATATATAAGACAAGGTCCAAACGTATATATACGTTTGGACCTTGTCTTTGGTCTTGTTTATTGCCTGCTTTCTTCCCGAGGAGCGATAGTGTCTCAGTTGGTAGAGCATTGGCCTTTGGACCAAGAAGGTCATGGGTTCGAACCCACCACAAGATCAGGACTCCTGTGGACTCACCACCTGCAGGAGGATCAGTGAGGGGCTGGTGCTAAGTGTACTGGGTGCAGCTCTGACTGCCACCCCCCTAACCCAGAAATGGATTGAGGGGAAGAAAATGAATGAATGGATGGATTGCTTTCTTCCCTATTTCTGCAACTTCTTCTTCATACTGCTTGGATTCCCATAGTTTTCCCACAGATGCACTCAGCTGTTTACTTTTTGTTTTACTTTTTAAACTATGTTGTTTAAGCACCTCTGGTGAAAACATAACCCCCTGGAGAAGGAAACAAAACAGATGCCCACCATTTATAAGTGAGGAACGGTATTAGGATATGGCACAAACAAGATAGCATCAGTGGACAACGAAAACATTTTCAATTTTGTGCTATCGGACACTGAAGAGATGTGTCAACAGAGGGCCTGCAGCAAGTAAACACAGGAGTCTGACAAGCAATAAGCAAAATTCAACATTACCTCTGACCTCCGGCCGACTACATGCTGTCCTCCAGGATCAAAACTTCCAACATGTTCTTTTTGTGCAGGATACCATTCCTTTTTAGGATGCAACAATTCAGTCTTGTCCTAATTTTTCACAAGATCAGTCCATCTTTATTTGATTGAGCTAACAGGAAGCTAATCCAATCCGTCTCAACAGTTCTATTTCATTTGGTACAACGATTTATTTCTATGATTTTCATCGGTGTAAAAGCTGTGAAATAATTCATTTGAATGTTTTGCTTTTTTGATTACTTCCAATATTTTCTGATTTAGATTCTTCTCTTCCATTTATTGTTGCCCATATATTGTGCGATTGACCTTCTCATTTTTTTTAATACTGTACAAATTTTTGTGCTAAGTACTGTAAATTTTTTCTGCTGATCAGGAAAATTATTTTTGCCCCCACAATAATTGACTAAAACTAAAAAGAAAGAAACATGTACATATTCATATATATTTTTACATGTTGTATGTATATGATAAAAGTCAGTAACCCACATGTTGCAAACAGAATGAGAATGAAGATTTTCTAATAGTCAATCAAATAAATAGAAAATACCAATTTCCTCTGATAAACGGAAGGGATAATATTTACTACTGAAGTGTATTGAGAAATATATTACATCAAATCATATCAAATTAAACAGCCCTATCTAGATATGTACAGTATATCATGCGTATCGAGATGTATTGTATCGGCTGGCTCTGAAAGATACCCAGCACTTCCAAGCTAAACTTCCAGGGGTGTAACAATACTTCTATGTAATCGATGTATCGATGTGTCTGCCCTGCGATCCAGCTACATTGATCGGCGCTCAGCTATTTGGCCTCGATCCTAGCCGCACATCAACACTACACTGTTTTAAATTGAAAAATGTCGATTGTATCGATATAGTTCTTACATTAAATCATAGTCACAACATGCAATGGAATTATATATTCTTTGCTGTCTGAATGTTAATCTAAACAAATTTAATTTGTTTTTCTCCCGTGTCATCAACAAGCCTTTGCGGCGGCGCTGTAAATTTACGTCACAAGCTCATAACAACAACATGGATAATAGTAGCAGCGGTAGCAGCAAGGCTTTTAAACCTCCAAATTTGCGTTCGTCAGTCAGGAGATACTTTGGGTTTTGTAAAAAAAAAAACAAAAAAAAGGTTGCAATCTTGTCAAAACGATTGGCTCTGTAGAACTACTCTACGCTACGCTTCTCTTCGCATCTGTACCGACGCCACGGCATCGCTGGCAAAGCAGAAGAGTCACCCGAGGGAACAGCATCCAAAAACAGTAACTGCGGTGCAAGAGCGGAGACCAAAAAGGTGTTGCTGCTATTTTCAAAGTTCTATACGAGCTGAAGGCTTCAATATGTAGCACTAGAATGTACAGTGCTCACTGCTCAACAAAAGTTTTGGACCACCTGTCATGACAACAAAAAGAACTTTAGTAATACTATATCAAGAACTTCAAATTAACAGTATCATTTTTTATTTAATATTAAGAAAATAATAATAATGCATTGGTTTTTTATAGCGCTTTTTTGGACACTCAAAGACGCTTCACATGTGTTCACTCCATACACGGTGGTGATAAACTAATACTGTAGCCACAGCTGCCCTGGGGCACACTGACAGAAGCGAGGCAACCAGTATGCGCCATCGGCCCCTCCGACCACCACCAACCATTCATACACACACCAGATTCATTCTAGGCAATGGGGGTGAAGTGTCTTGCCTAGGGACACAACGGCAGTTTGGCACTTTACAGCTGCCCCACTGTGGCTGGTGTTTCCAGAGGTTAAGTGTCTTGCCAAGGACACAACGACAGTAGCCAGTGGGAGTCGATGGTGAAAGTCTTGAGCGGGGCTTGAACCCACGACCTTCTGGCTCAAAGGCCAACGCTCTACCAACTGAGCTACTGCCGCCCTCAATAACAAAATCGTCCTTGTTAAGTCTGGACTTATTTCCATCAAATCCAGCTTCAGATTCATTCTTATTTAACCACTATTGAAATAAAAAAAAAAAATATTTAATTTTAAATTGGTGGTGCTGCAAAACATTTGTTAAGCACTGCATTGTTATACATCTGTTTTATTCTTTTTTTATTCATGTGAGTTATTTATAAGTTAGCTCTTGGGCAAGATACATGTTTTTGTTAAATTTGTAAAAAGGTTGTATTTCTTGTTCAGCACTTTAAATCTGAGTAAGATTTCTAAGTTTCAATTACTGTAAAAAGTTTATTTACAGAAAAAGCCAATATTACTGTATCAATATATCGTTCAAAATCTAGTGTATCGTATCGAATTGTATCGTTTTTTATCGAAATAATTTGCTCTCATATCGATACAGATCGTATCGTTCTAAAAACGTATCATTACACCCCTATAAACTTCTATATCATTTAGAGCAAAGTCGTCAATTGTTCTTCTTATAATCATAGTTTGCTGCTTCGTTTCCCTTTAGTTGTATAAACCTGCATACGTTTTCTACCATTCTCTGCAGCTGAAGGCGCTTTGATGTTCACACTTCTATCAGCTCAACGCAAAAATACACAGCCCCTCTGTCGACACTGATGGACCAATATCAATGTCTAAGATGTCCAACAAAAATGCATTCTTTGGGACATTTAAGTGTAACTAAAACAAAACCTGTATTATTCATATGTAGTTTGCTCTCCAACATATTCAGGAGCTGACGTTGAAATATCCTGCCCCTCAGCAATCACATTCTCATTTGTCTTTGTGGGAGGCTGCATGTGTGTTAAATACCAAGGCTTTTAACATCAAAGCGTCAAGAGAATTTAAACTCCCCAATTATATTTTAAGCGATGTCCAGCGGGGATTGTTGATGAGCAGTGCATAACTGGAAATGTCCCTTTTATTTAATATAAAGAAGACTGACAGTTTGACAAATGTTTCTTACTTCTAATTGTAGCAAAATGTACTATTTTTGTTGGAGATTACATCATGTCTGAGGATGTGAGAATGAGCATGGCAAGCAATAGTCTTCGAGTATATACATATCCAAGGCTGTGAAATATTCAAAGTGTGTCTTCTTAGCTAAAATGTGATGCAAGATTATGACATGCAGTGAAAGCAGACCACAATATGAATATAGCGTAATATTTTCTCTTTAACATCAAGTACAGATTTTTATTTCTTGTTTATGTTATTCACAATATCATCTATATTTATTAATCTAATTATATTCATTTTAGAAGCTGTTTGAGTGTTTTGAAGTTTTACCAAGGAAGTTTTACCAAGTAGTGTTGAAAAGTAAGAAATATGTTTTATTGTTGTCAAGACATGTAAACAAATACATATTTGGTATATATCATTCAAACACACCAGATTGCAGATAAGACTGTTTCCATCTGCTGTTGTTCCACTTTAATAAGCACACAATTTATTCATACACCAGCGTGCATAGTGTTCTGAACAAGACGGATGAAGTGTCTTGCCCAAGGACCAGGCAGTCTAACTAGGTTCTATTTTCATCATCTGGCTGAATTATGGCTGAAAGATACGGTAAATCAAAATATTCTCATTCAAATCAATAGCCTGTGTTCATTGGTGTATATTAGTGGATGTGAAACATTTTGACTAGCTCTGGTTTACCCTGTTTTTGCCCGTAGGTGCTACTCCTGCTGACAAATGGGGGAATGGTTTATTGCTCGAAAGTTAAGGTTAATACAAACCAATAGATTAAAAAAAAAGTTAAACATGACAAAAAAGACTAAAAAGCCCCCAAAATTTGATCTGTGTATAATTAACGAGCCATTGGTTTTCCATTACCATTTGTTCACTAGTACCATTGGGTCGGTCTGTATCTGGAAGTCCCACAGGATCTACACACGCTCATTCTCCACCACCTTTGGAGGAGTTTCCCATTTAGAACTTTGGGCTTCCAGATGTTTCTGTACACTATGGTCAGCCACTTGGTTATGGCGTTCCATGTAGGCCTTCCCTGCCAGCATCTTGCACCCTGCAGTTATGTTTTGGATCGTCTCAGGTCCCCCTTTGCACAACCGAAACTTTGGGTCATTTCTGGTGTGGTATATCTGCGCCTCTATCACTCTGTTGCTCGGGGCCTGCTTCTGTGCAGCCATGATGAGTGCCTTTGTGCTGTCCTGTAACCAGCCCTTTCTAGCCTTTGGCACAACACCTCTGCTATGTTCTGGTGGTACATAAAATGTTGGGGCTTGTCCTCCCTCCTCTAGCACCTCCACAAAGGTACATACCCTGAGGAATTACACTTCTAAATAAAAATCCATCAAATTGATTGCTCTGGGAGTTTTAGTGTTAACATCAAGGTCCATGCTAGCTTAGATATTGTGAGCTAGCATTATTCTATTTAGTTATTATGTAATACATCTATTAGTATGTAGGCTCTCTGTCAGCTGAGGTCGAGCTGTTTTAATTTACATTGAGTTCTATGGGACTTTTTTCTTATAGCCCTCGTGAATTTAGTCTGCAGTACCACGGGCACAAGCTAGTAATACCCTATCCAGTTATTATTATAGATCCATGATGCAGATGGACAATGCTAACCGACTGCCCAGTCTATGCTACTATCTCTATAAAGCCTAGAAGTGCTCATGGACAAAGTTTTGTTCCTATTTTCTTTGTACTTTAGCTTCTATGATTCAATCTGTAACTATTCTGTCACACTCACCATTTTGGGTTTAAAACATAACATTCCAATAACATTTGACCAATCAGGTTCTATCAGTCTGGCTTTAGCTAGTGTGTAGTGTGAGCGTAAACAGACCAGTGCTGTTCCTGAATGGTTCTTTGGAACCTGTCGTTGATACACACAAATGTGTCTCCAGTGTCCTGCACATAGAGGCTGTTTCAGTTAGCTCTAATCCGCCAATCCTATATTCAGGCAAACTACGTGTGATGTCAGCAGTCGGCTAGTCCACTTCTTGTACAGTCTATAGGCAGGTTGTAAAATAAGGAAGATAGATGAACAGCATGTCAAAGTTTCCCCTGTTTACTATTTTCATTCATGTGTTGTTTATTCTTATTCAGAAACCATGATTTCAGGTCAGGGTTGTACATCATGCGATTCAAGAAATATGACAAAACACATGTTATAGGTCTAACTGCTGATAGGAAAGTAAGTGACTTTTATTCATACAGTGCTTTTCACACACAGACAGGGTCACACAAAGCTCTTTACAATTTGGTATACTTGAAAGATTTCTTAAGACATGTTTTCTTACCACACATTGTCACCTCATTCTCAATTTGTGCTGCTGCTTGTCAACTTGGAGATAGATATTCCAAAGTGTGGAACATTCCAGCCATAACAAAGGAGATGAACGGGAGGCAAGACTTCATGATAGACCCAATGCTAATTTGTTCATTGAAAATAATGAGCTCGGTGAATGTAATAACAAACAACTCACCTTTTTTTTTTCAGTTTTTTTTTACTTCACTTGACTTGGAGTATCAAACAGCTGTGATGTGTTGTGTCATCAGGATCAGGAATACATGCTCTGATTTGAGGCAATGAGTCACGCTACTTGATTGTTTATAAGAAAAAATTGGCAATTGGCAGAGCAGAAAAAAATTGGTACTTGCTCCAAAAAATCTAAATCGGTTGTACTTACCTCTGCCTTCATCTTAGAAATGAAAATATTTCCAATAACTGCATGACCTATGACTGAGTTGTATTAAAACGTAATCACTGTGCTGTGCTAATGTTTTTTTTTTTATTCCCCTTCTCTTCTACCTTCAGTTCCTCCCAAGATCTATGACATCTCATCCGACATCACGGTAAATGAGGGCAGTAATGTGTCACTCATCTGTATGGCGAGTGGGAAACCCGAGCCCAGCCTTTCCTGGAGACACATAACCCCATTAGGTGAGTGGCCTTCACCTCGGCTGAACACACAATGAGCCAGTGGAACGGCCCAGTGGATGGGCAATATGGACGGATGCATGTAGACAGGAAATGAGAAAGTAGGAAAAGATCAATAGGTGATAGACTGAGCAGAGGTTGAGTTGCATGAGAAAATTGACAGGTGTGGGGGTGTGAAGGTTATGTGTGACTAGATGGAGAGGTAAGGATAAGGCGTAATCATAAAATCAAGTGATGTAATTGGGGGAGGACTGGAAAGTCTATTTCTATTCAGCCTTAAACTCCCTCATCACTGAATTTTTCTGTAATCTAGAGTATCTAATGTTTTGCTCTAGTGTGGAATTGGCTTGATGCTTCACATATTATCTCTGTTGATCTGGGAGAACATATTTTTAATGTGATGACAATGATTACGGTTCAGTACACTTTTGTTTAGATCGTTGGAATGCATCATTGGTTTGTCTATAGTGCTATTGTACTTAAGTAATTTCAGTGTTTATTTTGTTGACTATATATCATCGTCATATTTTTCGTCAGGAATATATTTTTTGGGACGAAAACTAAAATAGAAGTCATTCATTAAGATGTAGACGATCACTAAATTGGTTGACATTTTCGTCCACGAATAAAAGACGAGACGAAAAATGGACCATGACAAAATCAGATCAGAAGAACGGATATAGATATATAAGAGCCAACGAGAAAACAACCAATCACCTGGCTGGACTATATGCGAGGAGGACCTATGAGGGCTTGTCTTGTAAGCACCGGTGACGCGAGCTGTGAACCGAAGCTATTGCTAACGCTAACCACAACATTACTCAGTACTCATTACCATTTACTCACGTAAGCCTGTGAAGTGTCAATCAGTGAAGAAAAGAACAAGACTGGGAGAAAAATAAGAGGATATCTGTGGGGCCTTTTTACGTTTGACAAAAAAGAAAATAAGAGATGGCAATATGAAGCCCCGTGAAGAGGCATCGCAGCATTAACATGGTTGAAAACAAGGTGATTTTTTTGCTATACCGCCATCATGTGGACTAAGAAACGTAAAACAATCTTCTTGTGCCTACAGTACAATAAATGGTCCCTCTGAGACATCTACAGTTGATATCTACAATGATATTATATAAAAACAAGATGCTCCAAAGTAAAGTGAAGTAATAGCTACCAGTGTCACGTTTGTCATTGTATGCAACAAGCAATATTACATGTTTAGGAAAAAAGTATTTTTTAGTCGACTAAAATTGGACTGAAACTAAATTAAATCAGATGCCAAAAAATGTGACTAAAACTAAAATGAATGTTATTCAAAAGACTAAGGCTAAAATGAAATTAGAATTTCTTGTCAAAATGAACACTGATACGGATACAATAAAAAAATAAAAAAATAAGACATTAAAATGTGAATTTGAAATTAATATTATGACATATATTAATAATAATAATAACATACATACATAATATAACTAAAACATAAAATATGTCTAAAAGATAGATAGAATATATAAAAATGATTAATAATAAATACAAATCAGAAGCGAATCTGTCTTGAGCCTGCTTTTGAAAATATGCAAGCATGTTTTTTTTCTCATCCTTGTCAACAGCTTCACTTTAAAATGTATCTTGTTGCTGTATGTTCAGAAATAACAATCTTGGCTTTTTCAATTGGAGTAATAACTGCTTGGTGAAATCTCTGTGCAGTCCATATCTGTACACTCCTTCTTTGATTTCTGCATTTCACTAGAAAGCAGTGAGTTAGCCGGTAAACACCATCACAGATGTTGACAGCGAGCCTATAGAAGTTTATGATAAGTATTTTACCACATTGAGCCAATGAGGGGAAAAAAACTCACATCAATTATTATCAGATCCTGACTCTGAAAAAATAAAAACTATGTGCATGCATTCCTTTGATTATGTAAGTATAATGTAAGTATTTGGAAAATGCTTTATTTATTTGAAATTTAATTTACTGGTTGCAATCATATATTTATTAGCTGAAATATAACATGTATTTTGAATCAACCTGCATATTAACTGTGCGTGTGACCTTTTGTGAAAAGTCACATTTCAACAACATAATCTCTAAATGTTGTCAATTCGGGTTCAAACTACAGTTGTCTCGAATACAGACTAAAATCATAGCCTGGGTCAGCGCTAGATGGTATAGCAGATTGACAATGGAGCAACTACGCTGCTTGCATAAGTAGTTGAGCGTCATGGATTGGTCACAGGATGTCATAAATACACATCATCATTCGTCATTCAATAATCTTGTTGACTACTCCTGGTTAAAATCCATATCTCTGAGTCTGAGCCTGAGGCCCTGTTTATACTGAGACGCTGCACAGACGTTTCCAGGATATTAACAGAAACGACCTGGCTCCTAATGCAAATTTCTCAGCGTTCACATGAGGTTGAAAAACGATGTAGTTCTAGCGCCCGGCCAGTAGTGGGCAGAGAAACTTTACAACACTCACACGACCCCCAGCCCCGTGCCCAGCCCCCCTCTCGGCAGAGTACTCACTTCCTGTGCCAGACCCTCAGAACGCACCAACATCATTCTGCCTTTTAACAGCAGCTGTGAAAATGGAAACTGAACCTAGAGCTTCGCGTGGTCTCGTTTGGACGAACGAAGGAGTAGAATTATCCACTGTGCCGCGCTGGAGGCCCACGTAGCTAGTTTGTGTGCGCGGCGCCATTGTTGTTGATGTTTGTTCTCCGCTACTGCGCATGTCCAAATTTACGTGCGGGGAGCAGCGCGGAGGTGGGGGCAGGGCTGGACTGGCCATCGGGCGTACCGGGCAATGCCCGAAGGGCCGATGCCCATATTTGGGCCGGTCTGTCTGCCTCATACAAAAAACATGTTTGTGAAAAGTGTACATCCGTTAAGAAATGTTTGAGGGGAGCGCGGGTGTCCGCGGGGCACCTGCTGTATGTACTCGAACGGGATTCCACCACCTCAGCGGCCGCAGTGTTCCCGCATCCAGCGGCTCTGAGCTGGACGCAGGAACCGCTCACAACACAACACGGGGAGCGCGTAGCCGCAACGTGCCCATGTACCCAAGACCATAAACGCGCACAGGACCATGCGTGTCTTTTTGTAATTTGTGCACCCAATAAATACACCGCTGCAGGAAACAGTCCGCGTCTCCCCTCTCCTCTAAATTAAAGCTCGGGTACCTAAATTTTCCATTGCATTAAAAGTTCATGTTTGAGCCCAAAAGTAAAATGTTGTGAACAGATTAAAAAGATTTAGAGCCAGCTAAAGGCTGACAATATGCATTTCAGAAATGTTTACCAATTCTCATCCCTGTAACAAACAATAGTGTTGTCTGTGTCCACCTCCCTCACTCTGAGACATGTTTATTACTCTGTTTAATGTAGACTATTGTACTTTTTTGTACTTTATTGTACTATTTTATTGTTGAAACTGCAGACATCCTGATCCTCTACAGTATTTGCTTCCACATACTGTATAAACCAGGGGTCGGCAACCTTTTTAGTGCCCCTAAAGTGGCTCCTGGAGCCTTTTCAAAAATGTCTGAAAATGGAGTGTGAGGGCCATATTTTATTTCTAGTTTCAATGTGGTTTCTGTAGGAGGAAAAACATTCTTAACGTTTTTCAATGCTGCAAAAACTTGTATAAGTAATAAGACGGTGAAAGAAAAGGCCATTAAGGACATTTAGCTCCAGCAAACTTCCGCCTGTGATGTGATGGATATGAACTGACAGTAATGCAGGTGAACTCGGAGCCAAAAAGCAGATTTATTTACTGTATTTGTACAATTGCAAGAAGGCAAAAAAATGGAAGTTAAAGTTAAAGCAGAGTTGTCACGTGGTGCGTCATTCTCTCCAGGACACGCTGCAATGAAAACACACATTTGATAATCATGAATGGTTTTTATGTGTTTAGCCTAATATCTAAATGCCTTTGTCATTTAGATATTAGGCTAATATAGCTAATATAGCTAATATAGCTAATATAGCTAATATAGCTAATGTAGCTAAGGTAGCTAATGTAGCTAATACAGCTTCAGCCCCTGTTACCTTCATATAAGCCTTATACAACGCTGTTTTTGTTGTTGTTGTCAAATATGGCTCCTTGAACCTTTTGAGTTGCCTGGGCCGCTAAAAAGGAAAAAATGCCCGGGCCGTTTTTTTGTCCCAGTCCAGCCCTGGGTGGGGGTCAGAGCAGAGGGGGATTTCACACCTTTCCCCTCTCGCGGGTGTGAAAGAGCTCCCCGCTGTGCAGCATTTCTGAGTTGTCCCACTCTGCAGGCTGGATCTGAACACTTACGTTTTCACCCCCCTGAAACACAGTCTTCGTATGAACGGTTGGTAGAAACCGACATCCAACTATACCGTTTTACTGCCACATTGTCTCCGTGTAAACTCAGCCTGAGGGTCTCTCTATAGGCTCTTACTGTCCTTCCAGACGTCCACAGTCCCAATGACCCCGGAGAAGGATCGAGTCAGCAGTCTCCGCAATTGCCCAAATGTAATGAGACACAATTATAACAAAGTATCTATCCACAGGACATGTGCAGTCTCATGACACAGACGCTGCTGAGATGCAGATGGAGGTCCTATTGTCTCCAACGTCACATTGGCCTTTTGATTTAGATAATTGATTTCCTGCCATTGAGTGCTGACATTGTCCCACACACATTCTATATGAAGACCCATACAATTATTAATATGCTAATAAACATAACATTTCTTAACACCTTTTTAATGTCATAGACCTAAAACGATTACTCGTTCTCTTATATTTCCAGTCGGTTTGGAAATAACAATTCTTTATAAGGTCCTGAACTTCTCTTTTGCAAACTACTTTTGTTTTAACGTTTGCAGAGAGACCTATATACTTCTCTGGTTCTTGCAGTCCCAACTCATTTTCATATTAATGGATTAGCGCATGCTGTGCCTATCTGATAGTGGTGAGGATGGCTGCATTTATCTTATGGCTGTCAAATCCTTCCTCTCTGGTGTGCTCA